TATTTTTAAAAAAAAAAAAAAAAAAAAAATTCTAAATAATTTTATAATGAATAAATTATAATCATTAATAAATGATTATCTACTTTTTATGTTGTTTAATTTAATAATTAATATTTAATGCTTTTTTTACTTTGTAAAAATACAATTTTATGTATTTAATGATAAAAATGAATTTAAATAAATTACTTTAAATAATAAATCTATCTATCTATAAAGGGGTCTTTTTGTGTAAATATATTATTTTGTTAATTTTTAAGAAAACGTCTAAATTATTTTAAATTAAATAAATTACTTGGTAAATAAATTCTGAAATAAAGTCTATCTATCTGTCTGTTGTCTAAATTAAGTCTTTATTTTTATAAAACATTTTTATAAAATGTATAATTTTATCATTTAATAATTTTTGTTAATTTGTAAAAATAAAACCTCTAAATGTCTTTTGTCTTTTTTCATTTAATAATTAATATTTTAAAATAATTAATACGTTTAATGTTTTTTTTTACTTTGTAAAAATGTAATTTAATGTATTTAATGATAAAAAAAATTTGTAAATAAATTGCATTAAATGATCTATCTATCTGTCTGTCTGCCAGCCTTCCTGTTGTCTATATTAAGAGGTCTTTTTATTTTTATAAAAAACATTTCTATAAAATGTATAATTTTATCATTTAATAATTTTTGTTTATTTGTAAAAATAAAACCTCTAAACGTCTGTCTTTTGTTGTGAATCAAGTGGTAACATTTGTCATGGAACATATTTCACTGTTTCTCTGTAGGGGGTCGGATTGTCTCCTGGGGCTGGAATGAACACGGAATGTGTGGAGATGGTTCCCTCTGTGACGTCACACAACCGCGGCCAATCCCCCGTTTCAGAGACGCTACGGCTCTTCTGATTGGCTGTGGATCAGGACATTCAATGGCACTATGCAGTTTGAAGAGCAACGAGGATTCCGCAAGCTGAACAGGTTTGAGCGTTTGGCTCTCAGACTGTGACAAAGACTGTTTGCTTACGTTACGGTTTTAATTATTCTGAAAGACTCATTTAAGCCTTTAAAGGACAGATTTTAGATCAAAGTCTTAGAGATGCAAATACTACCCACGGATGCACACATTATGCTTATGACATGAGGAAGCGGCCAAAATAAACGTTTTTAGAAACAAGAACACTAGGTCTATTTGCAGCTTCATGCAAATTTTCATAACTTAAATGAGATTTATTTTACAGGCATATTCTAAATGTTAATATAGTAAATGTTAACGTTTAGTTGATATATTGGTCAGTAAGGAATAGCAGAAATAAAAATTCTCACTCTCATGTTGTTATAAACCTGTATAGCTTTTTTTCTCCCAGTTAATTCAGTGATGAATTTGGGCTTGTACATACTGTACTAGTGTCTTTGCAACAATTCAAAAAGACTGGAATTCAATGAGAACAGACAAATTCAATCAGACACTCACTCTCTGAATGGGTTTAACAATTCACTGCTGAAATAGCCATTCACGCTTTCTTTGCTGTGATGGACGGTCAACGATTATTTCCTCTGACCTTTTACCTCACAGTGACAGAGAATACCCTTAAATAACCTTCACTGTGGAGCCATTAACTGAAACAGATTTACTGCTTTGAAATGACCTGTCTGAAAGCACTCAATCTCCCAGAATGCCCTGTGGTGTGGGGCAGTCATTTGATCCCAGAGTGATAATTTACTAAAGACTGGGCGGGGGGACGTTTAAAAAGTGATTTTTCAATATTATTGACAACAGGATCTGTATTTTCATGGGTTCGAATAAAATATTTTGTTGCAAGAGACAATAAAAACAAAATTGTGCGTCAAAACCACTCAAAAAAAAGATCTTGATTTTCAAAAGTCAACAAATTTGCGACAGCTGAATGTAATATTTTGTCTGTCAAAAATAACATGCACAATACAATTTATTTATGAGAAGCCTGCTACCGGATTTTTCACTACATCTTCACTCTCAGAGAAGAAGAACATGGCAGCCTAAGTAGCTTCAACATGATGTCTGTCAGAAACGTAACATACCTAATACTTAACGCATAAGAGAATAAATTTGTTCTTCACTCGCTGAGATTGACAGGTGTTTTTTTATAAAATGTAGTAATGTGTTAAAATGTGTTTTAGAATTATTTTTGCTTTTAATTCAAGTATGTTTGTTCATGCATCTACTACTTTTTTTGCTTAAAAACCCACAAAACACACAAAATCTGTTTTAGTGCTTTTTATTGTCATTATTTTATTTTCATTGCTTTTTTAAAATCTCTCTTCAGAAAAAGACACAAAATTGCCTTAACAATATGTCAAATCAAACCATCAATGAAAACACCACCTGGTTTTAGATAACTATCCATACTGTGCACTGCAATGTGTTGAAAAACACAAGGAACGTCTCACAAAACAGCACAAACGTTTGGGATGCCGCCTTTTGCCAGGAAGTTCGATGTTTACTGTGTCCAAAAACTATGCAGTCATAAAGACTGTGAAACTTTGGAGGTTTTATTATATACTGTTGTTTGTGCTCTGCTGTGGTTGGGTCTTTGAACAGTCCAGCATGTTGTAAGGAAACGACCCAACGTCGACATTTCCCGTGATACAACTGGCAGTGCGCTAGTATGGTCCCAAAGAATTGGGTTTACTTCACATTTTCACAACAATGAAAAATAAATGTCGAAACAAACTTGAGACACAGTATCGGTTCCTTTCGTTTATTCCATCATAAACCCTGTATGTTCTCTATAAAGAGTTGTGTTGTTGTTCTGTGCAGGATTGTCTCTTGTGATGGTGTCTACGAAAACCGCCGTAATATGTGGCTTTCAAAATAGCTTGTATGTTCAGACTGAAGTTTCAAATGCAACCTAAGCATTTATCAAACATTTTCCTCATCAAACTCAATGATGGTGTTGCCATTCATTCAAAAATTCTGAGTTTGGTCCCAATAATGTGCTAATAAGCCTTAGTTTTTTACCTTCAAATCCAACACCGCGTTCCAACCAGGCACGACACATCAAATTTTCAGCGATAACGTCTTTTTATGCTGAATCATAGCCAATCAGAACACGATCGATGAGGCAGTTTTAAAAAGTGATTTTTTTTTTACTATTATTTACAACAACAGGATCCTCATTTTCATGGGTTTAAATAACTTTGTGCATCAAAACCACTTCTTTCCTAGTTAAAAAAAGAACTTGATTTTCAAAAGTCAACAAAATAAATGTAACTTTTTGTCTGTCAAAAAATAACATGCACAATACACGGTAGTATTTAATAAAAAAATTTAGCGACTACATATTTTCACAGACAATCAGAACACGATCGACATATATTAAACGTCAAATATAAATATTTAAGATAAGTAAAATTTTGAATCGGTGAGATTTCATTGTGGGCGGAGCCTGATTAGTCGTGTCTGATTAGTACGCGGTGCATCTCTAAAGTTACCATCCAATCATGTGAGCTACAAAATATATCAAATTGCCATTTGTTCTACAGAAAGTAATGTAAAAGTGAACGGTGCAAACAGTGCAAAAGGCATTTTCTACATGGTAACTACAATAGTACAAAATTCGGGAAAACAATTGCTCATTTTTTTTCTCCCTACTCAAACATGATCACAAAGCTCGTGGATTTGTTTTTTCTTTTTTCCCACTGAAATGTGATTAGTGACTGGAGTAACATTTTTACAACATTTAAACAAACACTTCAACGAGATAAAAGAAAGGTCATGTTTTCACAACACTAGCACACAAGCACCATGTACAACACTGACACTCACGAACGGAAAAACAACAGGCACTTCACACAAAACGACAGCACAATAAACCATGAACGAAACAACACTACATACGGCTGAACAACTACAGCTTCTCTTGGTTACTGTGCTACATCTACGCTGAATTAATTCTCAGTCACAACTCGGAAGAGAAGTGCTAATCTACAACAAACGCACAGCACACACTCACACACACGCGCTAAATACGGTACTATCAGGTGGGGGATGTGGCTTTATGGTTGACACACATAGTGGTTGGTACACCATGGTGCATTACACACACTGACTCTGTTGGTTGTCTGCTTCGGTTGGCGCGCTGGGTCTCTAAAAAAACACGAAGAGAAAACAACAACAACAAACAACAAGGAAAATCATATTAATACACCAAACGAACAGCACAGAAACATGGGGGAGGGGGGAGGGGGGTGGGCAGATGAAGAAGGTTGGCGGGATTGTTGTCCCTCGAACCGTGCAAGCAATCAGGTTGATGTGTGTCAAGCAGGTGAATATGACCGTCTTTACAGGCTCATGGTAAACTCAGGGTTTACCATGCACTCTCCCATGCTGCATTCATTCAGATCCGGTGTAAGGCTACATGTTATTGTTAATACGATTAACTCATCAGGTCATGCTGTGATTGGTTTTGTACGCAGTGGAACGGTGTGACATGCTCGGTTAATGACTTGTGGCATGCTACCGGTGTGCGAAACAGGGCACGATCACTGCTAGTCCTGCCTCGGCTCTCCTGTTTCAATCCCCCCCCGCTTTACCAGGAGGTCACACGCTCTCTCTTTGACCTTTCTGACCTTTTAAGATCCAAGTGTGATTGTGCATCCTTTTACCAGGATTGAATTATGAGCTAGTAACACTGGTGCATAATTGCAACTTTAAATACGGACTGTAAAGTCCAAAAATAGCTGCCGGGAAAAGCAGCTCAGTGATAAAGATAGGGTGAAAGATCAAAGAGACATCACAATACAGGCACAGCTTATTGCCAAGCTACCGGGGGAGTAATGTATGCATGTTCTGTCAAAGAAAACCAGAGTCTATATACAGATTGGATACAAAATTTATTTCATGCAAGGTTCATATTTACAGTTTTGTCATTCGCATATGTATTTTTGCATAAAAGTGCATGCATTTACCTCTCCCCAAATAATTCCAAAAGTACACTGATTATTTTCTTTTTTAGAAGACGTTTTTTTTTCTGTCAACTGCACGATACATCTATATTGTATATTTTCTGTGTGATTTGCTACAGTGTTACACGTTTAGAAATGTGATATACACATGTATGTATTCCAGATAAATCACATTTGAAACAGAATTTATGAAAAATATGGGTTTTTGTGAAAATAAAACCTTATTTATATAATAGCTGGTATTGTAATTGAAATTCTGCTATTTAAATTTGCCTACTCTGTTCGAGAAAAAGTTAAAGTGCTTTTTTTTCCACTATTTGCATCTTAATTTGTTCGTCAAAAAGTCGAATGGTCGACTCAGTTGCTGCTACTAATAGATACAGGGTGTTTAAAAAACACCAGAGATCATAGTTTGGGGAAAGGCAAAAAATGTTTGCAAAAATAAAAAAACAATTGCTACATATATTGTATGTCATCGTAAATGATATCATACTCTGCATCAGATATATTTAAAGAAGCTTTGGATGAAAAAAATTTTTTTTCTTACACTGTTTCAATAAACTTACATTGTTTTCTCAGATAGTTTCCCATGCAAGGCATGCAAATGCAAATGAGGTTTCATCAGTCAAGTTTCTATGTTGGTGACGTGTGCATCACTAGAATCATGATTGATTAGTGTCACTTCAAACTAACTTTAACTTATATCATATATGAAATAGCCATTGTCTCATCTTTTTTTCCTTTTCAATGGTGTCCAATAGCACCTAATGAAAACCACAGCTTAAAACACCCAGGGTTTGGGGAAAAAAGGAGTTATGAAGGAGAGAGAAGGGGAAGAATGAAAAGTGCAGAAAATCGAAAGTGATGAAAGAAATGAGACGGCATAGAGAAGGTGGTGGTGGGGGCGTCAGATGAAACCACTGCATAGGAAGATGAGAGACTGTGGAGAAAAGAAAGAAGAGAAATGGAAGATGACAAGAATAGACTAGAAGGAAGATGAGGAGAAAAAAAGGAAGGAAGAGAAGAGAGGAGGAAGGTCACCGGAAGGAGGAAGTGGAAGGGAGGAGGAAAAGGAAAAGGGGAGGAAGAAGAATGCAAAGAGTGGAAGTAGCAAGAAAAAAATAGATGAAAGAAGGGGAGGAGGAAGAGGAAGGAAAAGAGAATAAGAAGGAGCAGAAAAGAAAGTGGGAGATGAAGCAAGAGGAATTAGGAGGAGAGAAGAAAGATGAGGAAGGACAAGGAAAGTAGCAGAGGAAGATGAAGTAGAAGATAGGAAAAGGCAGAGGAGGAGGAAGAGGAATAGGAAAGATAAGTTGAAGATGAAGGGGGGGGGGGAAGGAGAAGGGCAGTAGATGTGGAAGTGAGAAGAAGAGGAGGGAGAAGGGAAGAACAAGAGGAAGATGCAGAAAAAGAGACAATAGAATACAAAGGAGAAAATGAAGAGGAAAAGGGGAGGAAGAGGAAGGAAAAGTGAGAAGGACAGAGGATTAGAAAGGAAATAAGAAGGAGAAGGGGAAGAAGAGAGAAAGCAAGAGGAACAAGAAGAAGTGAAGAAGAAGAGTTCAAATTAAAAAGAGTTTAATGAGAGATGGATGGTACACAGTGTGAGCAGGCGTCTCAGCGCAGCACTGCGGAGCGAGGGCCTCTGATTGGTTAGTTTTGTTGTCCATGCTACAGGATGGATGGGATGGGAGAGTGGACCTGCTGCATGAGACAGGGTGGGCTGCAGGGCAGGGCCGACACTGAGGCCACGCCTCCAGACATGCTGCTATGGCTCCATGGCTTTTCATAACCTTCATTTGAAGAGAAAAAGGGCTTTCAGTAAAACCTCAGAGCAGCCTTCAACTCTAGACAAAGACTCTCTGCCAAGGTTTGCTTGTGAATAAATATGCTTCTTAAAGTAGGTTCATGGACAGATAGCTGAGGTGCGTGTACTGTATGTGGTGTGTATGCGCAGATTAGATTTGGTTAGTGTTGCTTTGTCATGTACTTGTTATGTGCATGGTTAGCCAGTTGACAATGACTGATTGCCAAGTCAACTGCATCATCCCCCATGCGTTCTATGCTTCAAACTGTCTACTGCATGCATGGGGTGGTTTCACAGTGCTGTACAGCACAACACAGGTTCAGAGAGACATCAAAGAACTCAGCCAGACACATCAGCCCAACAAGAAACAACCGTACATGTACACCCAGTTTACTGGTACTGTAGCTGTCTAGCTACCAGATGATGCTACTTCTGTTAAATATGGACACATCCTGAAAGCCAAACCACTCTCAAAGTTCAAACCTGCTGATATATAAATGACATTTCTGCAAGAAACAGAGATGCTTTTCCCACTGTGCGTGATGGTACACCTATCTAAATTCACCTGGTTCTAATAGTTTCGAACACTAGAAAGCCATATTGTCCTGTTATATCATGACCTAGGTCAGGGTTACTTAACCCTGGTCCAGGAGACCCACTGTCCTGTCGAGTTTAGCTCCAACCTTAAGCAAACACACTTGAACCAGATAATCTCTTTCAGGATTACTTAAACATTAAAGGCAGGTTAGTTTGAAGCAGGGTTGGACTTGAACTTTGTAAAACATTGGGTCTCCAGGAGCAGGAATGAATACCCCTGACCTACATGTAGAAAATTCAACTTATATTACTTGTATTATACATTTTGTTCACACAATTTATTGTCAGTTTCAAAAGCCCTTTTCCCCCTACGTCCTTAAAACATACCATGCCCTTTTAAATCAATAGATTCTCAGCATTCTCTGACATAGCATAAACTCTAGTGTGTGTAGTTACCCTTAATTGCTAGGTTGGACTATCTGTAATTTGGATGCCTGTGAAAGCTTAGAGTAGTAGTAAGCTTCCATGAGAGTAAATCCACTGAGAAATGAAAAGATTTCTGCATTACTAAAACTATTAGTACTTTTTAATTTTCACAAACAAGACCACTAATTACTCAGAAATCTTAATCACAAGGTTCTTGTCAAAATCAAACCTGCCAGTAGATTCATTATTCAGATGCGTCCAACTCAAGTTCAGTTCATTCTAGCTAAACATCCAGAGCTCAGCAGATCAACGTGCTAAACTAACAGATTAATGAGTAACATTAAAAGAGTCAAAACATGACAAATCTCAATGATCTTTTCAAATAAAAGTTATTTTATGTGTAACATAATATGTAACATACTCTAGTTTCAGAACTGAAAGACTTGTCCAAAAAGTCAATCTCTTCAAACCCTGTTTAAAATATTACTCATCAGTGTGCTGACTCATCCAATTGCGGTAAAGTAAAAAGGACATGCTAAAGAGATTGTTTGTAAGTCTTGAAGGCATAGAACTAAACTTCTACAGTCAGAAAGAGGGTAAAAAAAACTTGGTAAGACCAAATTATTGAACCTCTGAGGAAACAATTTTATGATATGACTCCTTTAAGGTTACCATTTTACTGTCATTTCACTTTGACAGAAATTTACAGATTCTAAAATATTAGCTCCTACCTTGGTATCTGATCTCGGAAACCTCTTCCTGTGCCAGGGGGCATGTGTCACTGTGTGTGCTGGGTCGCGGGGAGTTAATCGCTGACTTGCAGTAGTTGGGAGACCCCAGTTGAGGTGCTCGTGGGATATGCTTATTTTTTTTCTTTGGTAGTTTTTGTTTCGCCATGGCTAGGGAGTAGTACATGCCGAAGTTGTTCACGATTACAGGTACAGGCATGGCGATCGTCAGCACACCTGCCAGGGCGCACAGTGCGCCCACCAGCATGCCGGACGTCGTCTGAGGGTACATATCGCCATAGCCGAGGGTTGTCATCGTTACCACAGCCCACCAGAAGCCAATGGGGATGTTCTTGAAGTGTGTGCCACTACTGGCGTCAGGATCGTTGAGGTTTCTTCCAAAACGTTCAGCATAGTAGATCATAGTGGCAAAGATTAAGACTCCGAGTGCAAGGAAAATAATAAGGAGGATAAATTCATTGGTACTGGCACGGAGCGTGTGCCCTAGTACACGCAAACCCACAAAGTGTCGCGTCAGCTTGAATATACGGAGAATTCGAACGAATCGCACCACACGGAGGAAACCCAACACGTCTTTTGCTGCTTTGGAGGAGAGTCCACTCAGCCCTACCTCCAGGTAGAAGGGGAGGATGGCCACAAAGTCAATGATGTTGAGGGCATTTCTGACAAATTTTAATTTGTTTGGACAGGTAGTCACTCGGATTAGAAACTCAAAAGTGAACCACACAACGCAGACACCCTCAACGTAGGTTAACTGCACCATAGTCTCCGTCTCGGGAAAGACACGCTCCCGTGTTTCATTGCCCACCATGTAAGTCTCTGTGCGGTTGATGATGGGATTGAAGGCCTCATGAGTCTCCAAACAGAATGTGGTAATGGACATCAAAATGAAGAACAAGGATGCAAATGCTACCCACTGTGGGAAAGAAAGAGAGAGAGATGTTATGTAAGACCTTAATGAAACAGTCATCCAAAAATTACAGTTCTTTCAATATGTCTTCCCAACTTGTATAACGTTCTTTCTTCTGTGGAACACAACAGGGAAAATTTTGTAGGATAGCACTGGTCTACACTGATAGCTTTTGTATGACTTCAGAAGACTTGATACTTAAGTACTTTTACGGTACTTTTTCAATAATTCTAACAACATGACAGAATTCCTTTAATACTTGTTCTTTGAATTCCTTACAAAACAGCTGTAACCCACAGTTCAGCTATAAATAGGTTTTCCCAACATCAGAGCAGACAAAGATAAATCCAATTACAACATCATGAAAACACTAATTGCTCATAAACACCCTTTTCAGCAGAATTCAGAGGAAGTACACTTGGATAATGTCACGTCTTCAATTCCTCGACGTGCTTCTGAAAAGTGCCACGTCAACAAATGGGGGGCTTAACAGCTGAAACTCAAGGTCACTGTGCGCTCTCAAGGAGAGCATAGAATGACAGAAAGGCACCAATATAACTGCCCTCCACCACTTCGGGATAAATTTAACCATACTTCCCCTCACCAGGGACTCCTGGTCAGCCTCTGGCAAGGTTACCACATGCAGATTTGGTGATATGGTCCCTCGAGTGCTTTGAAAGAGGAAGGAGGCTTGAACCACTTAAGCCCCGTTCACACCAAGAACGATAACTATAAAGATAACTATAAAGATAACGATATTAGCGTCCACACCAGCGAACAATATCGTCTGTGTATTTTAAGCGCACGCGCGTCTGCCTCTTTAAATTCTTGAGCTCGTTACAGCAGGATGGATTTTGATTGGCTGTCAATGTTTCTATCGTTCATCAGCTGGAAAAAATAATTCTGAAAATGATTCCAACGATATCGTTTCTCTGTGCCTTTATCGTTATAGTTGTAGTGTGGACTCTGCTATTCTTTAATATTGAGAACAATTTTTATAACTATATCTTTATCGTTATCTTTATAGTTATCGTGCTTGGTGTGAACGGGCCTTTACACGGCAGCTTACTGTAAGATAGAACGACAAGCATGGACAGATGGAACTGGATTTCAGTAGGGGAGCCCCACCACAGGATGACGGAATACTGGTTAGTGGTGGAATTACATAAGTGCAAGTTTGGTCATGTTTTCCCTACCATGGGATCTTCTGGCAACTGAGAAAAGCTCCATCCATTATGTATGAATTGATTATTCTTCTCAAATTAAATATTCAATTAAGGCTGTGAATCTCAATGACAAATCATCCATCCGCGCATAATAGAAATTCAGTACATTCTTGGAATTTAATAATCACTGTGACACAACTTTTCCATTTCCTAAAAAAAAAATGTTGGTTTATTCTTGCTTGCCTGTTTAGAAGTCGGTACTACAATACTGGGGTTTTCTGGGTGGCTGCTTACCAAGTCTCGGTTGCTCCCTTTAATGTAAATGTATGGGATTTTCTCACCCATTTTATCTTACACCGGGCAAAAACTGTGAGTCAGATCACTTTGAAGAGTAATAGCACCCCTCTTCTTAACAGTCCACATGGTTTGATGTATCATTCTCAAGTCAAGCCAAAGTTTAATGCTTGAAACTTGTTCAAATCACTAAACCCTGAATATGAACAATGCCTTGGCAAACAGCACTACCAGATGCATTACATGCTCATTTCTAAACAAAAATACAATTCTTGACCTATTTTCAATTATAAAAAGTAGTGCTGTCAAACGATTAATCGCGATTAATCGCATCTATAATAAAAGTTTTTGTTTACATAATATATGTGTGTATACTGTGTATATTTATTATGTATATATAAATACAAACACATGCATGTATATATTTAAGAAAAATTTGTTATGTTTATATATTAAATATATTTATATATAATATAAAATATAAGAATATGAATATATAAATGTATAAACGTAAATATTTTCAAAATATATACTGTATGTGTGTGTATTTATATATACATAATACATATACACAGTACACATACATATATAAGTTATTTTGGATGCGATTAATCGTTTGACAGCACTAATAAAAAGCAACCATTCCAGAATGACCATTTTTGTAAACAATTCACTCAAACGATTACAAACTCGCTCAGCTAACTCATGACCAAATTTCATTGTATCATCATTACTGAACAATAAACAATTACAAATGATTTTCATTCATATAACAATATGCATTTACAATATGTAAGCTAGTATCAAATATCAATGTTTTTTTTGTTCATATACTATGTTTTCATGAAGTTTCAAAGCATTAATACACCTTCTCTGCCCTGATCTGCCTCTGGTTCTGACGGCTAGCAACACCTCTCAGTTCTTCGGTTCCTTCTATCAAATAAATTCTTCTTCCACAGACAGTTTATATCTGGGTCAGCCAGTGCTTAGTCTAACAGACACTATTCCCTAGATGTGCCTCGTTTCCTGTGTTTGTAGGGAGGAGAAACGTTTTGTCTGAAGAAGCCTACGAGCACATACACACAAAAACGCACATAAATGAAAATTTTTCACCACTTATTAAGATCGCTTTGACCTGTAGAAAAAGCTGTTGAGTTATGGAAATGAAGGAACTCTATTTGGCAGCAAAAAGCATCTTTCTCCATTGATGAACGTTCAAAAGAATCCATGTATTTTGATGGAAAAAAATGTGCAAGAGAGATTTAAATTGCAAATATTTGAATTTCCTATTGCAGATGTTGTTAACAGTGCCTGATTTGTTTTTGGAAGGCTCTCAAAAGTGTAAAAAAGACTAATTTTTCAGTTTCACATCACAGCTCATTGTCGTGACAATTTCCTACAGCTCCACAGTAATTATGCTCTGATTCATTCAAAGACGGATGTGGGATACAACTTGATATCTTAATGATGCTCGAAAGATGACGTACAACATAAGGACGTAATTAACATGGCATTGCTACACTTCTCAATGAAGACTACTATGCTAGGGTTTGTTCTACCGATTATCAACATAGAGGAAAATTTGGTGTTTTACAAACCTGTCTCTGCAAACAATGCCTTTATTTTTTTGTATAGATGCATGCCATTGTACCTGGAACTTACAGTTTTCACAAGTTCTTTCCAGTTTTGTATCAAATATGAATCAGATGGTCAGTGACAGACTGGGGCGGTAAAAAACCAGTTAATAATTAATCAAGGTAAGACATGGATTACATCATCACCGCTGCTTTTTTCTCCTTCACAGATGCCTGTAAATTTGGTGTAATTCATGCAAAATAACAAATATCACCTCAAATATTTGAAAACGGCTCTTTTTTAACTGCTGACTCACTTTTGCTCTCCTCAAACTGAGGGCGAAAGCACATTCTCACGACCTTGCAAATCCCAGAGGGCAACAGTTTGATCCACGAGAACGTTTAATCCTCACTCTCTCATTGATCAAGATCCAAACACGAGAACAGCTTGATCCCCTTGATCTCAGGGGACACAACATGATCCGTTTCTCCCCCTCTGCCCTCCCGTCACACACTGATGACTTGAAGTGACCGTCCATTTTAAGTTTTATCCCTCCACACACACATCTACTTATTTTGAATGGTCGTCAATGGAGAAAATGCTTTTTTGGGGTCCAGATGGTGTATTTACGGCATCTACCAGCAGGGGCTAATGCAACCATGCTAACCAGCCAAACCACGATCTCTTGCAGTTTCCAAATGAATATTAAAAGAGAAACTTTCTGGTACTCTATCTTTCGGTGAATCTAGTGCTTTTTCACACCCATAGGGATGTTGACTGCAGACTCATTGACGTAAAGCGGCATCATTTGCAGCCATTTAATCTGGGTTAAAGAGCCCATTTTCATTTTTCAGCCCTTGAAAAAACATGCGAGTGCCAGTGCTGGGAATGTTGAAACTCACTTAAAGTGCTGGTAACTGTATTAGTCGGTGGGCGGCCCGGAGCTGATTCATTCTGCGTGCAAGTGTGTGTTTGTGTATGAACCGATGTGTTGCTGCGATGCTGATGCAGCTGAGATATGAGATGTTCTCATTAAATACACTCACACACACCCCAACCAGGCAGACTAATGAATGACATGCAGCTTGATAATTACTGTGAGGATGAGTCTGGACAAGTCTACGTGTATGCAGACAGAGTCTGAACCGATAGGCCTTGTGTGTTCACTTCCTGTTCGATTATGGCACAGTGCGGTTTATATTCTCTTTCTCAGAAGAATTTCTGGGTCTGAACAGGGTTTTAGACTAAGCCAGACCCATTTACACCAAAATGAAGGGCATCGGCTTGTGATTGCATAACAGACAATAAGACAAAAAATTAGCTCATGGTTCCCATGAAAATAATTCTGGTGGTTTTTCCTAAAAGCGCACAAAAATATGTCCAGACCACATTTCACACACACACACAGACACACAAAACGAAATGAAATTAAATAAATATTTATCTAAATTAAAAGAAATCTTAAAGAAAATTTACATTTATTTTTGACTAATACATACAAAGAAATACTGTAAGAAAATAATTTCCTTTATTTTAATCAATCAAATGTATCATAACAAATACTTAATGTATAAATGCTTTATTTAATCCATATATATAAAGATGATAATGTAAAAGAAAATGTGTAATGTAAAACAACAATAGATAATAATAAAATGTAATGGTTGAGGCTTAATGGTAGGCTTCATTGTGTTAAAAAATATGATTTCTTCTTTCTCACTTTTGATTTTGGGGTTAAAAATGACCGCTTTTGTAACATTCACACCCTCACAGGCATTACTGTAGGAGAACGACAGGACACATTATCAACCACAGAGTGGCATCTGTTGTTTGCAATGCAAAGTACAAACTAGCTAACATCAGAAAACAACAGGACACCTCACTCAAAATGATCCTATTTCCTGTTATATTTCAAAAAACATGCAACTAAGACAAAATGACCGATTCACCTGATCCTGCACTGAGGTACAGTGCTGTAAGCGTCATCATTTTGAAAGAGGACCAATGCCAAGTTTCCAACAGTTAGCTTTATAACAACGTTTCTACAATACTTAGAAAAACATGTTTATTTATTTCTTTCTTTTTTTTTAAATTGACAAAACCTGTATCATTCTTGCCAGTTTCTAACTCTAAGAAGCCTAAACCTTTTGCTTATCTATACAAAATGCATGCCCTCCCAGGCTTCTTGGCTTTCAGTTTAGATAAAGATAAAGAAAGATGTCATCTGTGATCACAGCAGGTAATTGAGTTGTCAAGTTGTAATGTAATTAAGATATTCTTCCTGATGGAGGCGACCTATAAATAACTCAAAACAATTGAATTGACTTGATCTAGTGTAGAAACGGCACATACAATGCTGTTTACAAGGTTTCACTGCACCACCTATGCGCAGGGAGTCCAGCCATGACTCCAACATCCCAATTCATTCATCTGAAATCGGTGTATTTTTTCCAGCCGCCTCCACTTGAGAAGCAGAGAGGCGCTGCATTTAGAAAACGTGGTAAAAATAATCCAGCACCGTTGACAAGAATGTATATTTGATGCAGAAACCCAGCTTTCCCATCACGCATCAGCGATTGCTCAGACTGTGTATCAAAAACAAGTCGTGCAGAGGATCTAAATCACAAATCCTGGCTGTGGTCGATGTCCATAAGCGGACTTCATCAAACCCATTACTGCTTGATTTGCTATCAGGAAGCCTGGTTCATGATTCTCTGTGGTGCTGCCAGGAGCCGGGCCACTTTTCCTCAGATCCAGCAGCTCTCTGCTACGGCAGACAGTGTCGGACAGCCTGGCTCCTGGCAGAGCAGCCCATAGCCAAATGAATAATACATTTCCTTCTAGAAAACCAGTCTCACCTACAATTTATTTGTTTAGACACGTCATCCGCATTCAAAACCTACCTGAAACTCTTTCTACATTGGCGGCCAAATGTTTGAAATAATTGAATTTTTACATTTTTTTGAAAGAATTCTCTTATGCTTACCAAGGCTGCATTTAGTAAAATATTATTGCATTTTAAAAAATCTGTTTTCTATTTGAATATATTTTAAAATGTAATTTATTCATGTGATACTTTTTTTTTTTTAAATGCTCAAATGCCCATTTCTTATTTTTATCAATGCTGAAATTATTTTTTGCTGCTTAATTTTTTAATGGAAACTGTGATACTCTACAATTCAAAAAGTTGGGGTAAGTGTGATTTAAAAAAAAAAAAAAAGACAAGAAATGGAAAGAAATTAACAATTGACAAAATAATACAATACAAGCTTTTATTCAGCTAGGATGCAATAAATTCAGAAGTGACAGTAAAAACATTTATAATGTTATGAAAAAAATTATTTCAAATTAATGCAGTTCAATAAACTTTCTATTCATCAAAGAATCTTTAATTTTTTTTACACAGTTTCCACAAAAAATATCAAGCAGCAAAAACTTTTTCAGACTTGATAATAATAAGAAACATTATTAATAATTGAGTACCAATAATAATTGAGCAGCCATATTAGAATGATTTCTGATGGATCATGTGACATTGAAGACTGGAGTAATGATGCTGAAAATTAAGTTTTCCATCACAAGAATAAATTACATTTTTAAATCTATTCAGATAGAAAACTCTTGTTTGAAATTGTAATAATATTTCACAATATTACTATATGTTTCGATCAAACAAATGCAGCCTTGGTCAGCATAAGAGACATTTAAAATCCTAATTATTCTAAACTTTTGCCCACCATTTTATGTCTACGTTTTTCCTACAATCTGCTCGCTTAGATCTTGGAGGACGTCCATCTCCTGCTCTGTCAGTGCCAAAGCGGTGGGCTAGAGTCAGTAGAGCTGACCTGTTTTAACCTGGCTGCCAAAACTCGTAGAAATGCTGGGATGGCGTTCATCTCCGATTAAGAGCTTATAGGGTTCCTGCTGAGAGCAATGATGGGACAGCGGTGAGGGCAAAGAGCTGACATTTGAAATGAGCTAATGAAATGCCCATAAAATCTCAAGGGAAGTGTGTCTTTTACAGCACAAAGTGCCCTTAAATGCTTTATACGAGTGCATCTTTAGTGTTTGTGTGCCTTGGGGTTGTGTGTATCTGCGTGTCTCTAGGGGTGAGGTGGCTGCTTGTCACACAACAAAACAGGCGAGCTGCAGTATAGTGGCAGCGTGCTCCTGAACAAAACATGATCTGTATGGACAAGCAACGATGTGAGCAGTCTTTATTTCCAACGCCTAGTCAGTCAGCAAATCACAGTCGCTTGATAACCTTCATCAGGTAGAGGAGACAACAAAACTAAGGTGCACTGTGGTAAAGACTTGCAAACAAATGGAGTTATTTTATACTATAACAGTATGGCAGTGCATGACGTCATTTATGGCCCATCTCGTGGCTTCTTTTATCTGACGAAAGAGAAGGTGGGTATTATTTCAAGGTCACCAAGAGCTGTGGGATGTGCTCAGAGATGTGGTCATCCAGAGTCTCTGTGTCTCTCCATAAGTCTGCAATTGGGACATTCCACGGGGGAAACAAATCTCAAGAATATATGAGTAAAAATGACTTGAGTTTTTATAGGCATTTTTCTTGTCGAAAAATCGATTTATTTTCATTTATTTAATTAGATCATTTCTTTTCCTTTTCAGTTCTATAATGAGGATGTGTTTTTGGCCTATTAATAAATAAATGAATAAATAAAGTATATAGTATTTTGTATTTATTCTATAAACATTTTCAAAATGTATTGTAGCATTACATTTTTATTTATATACATATTTCAGTTTGTACTGTAGAGAGTATTATATATATATAATTTATATACACACACACACTAAACGATGTATTATATGAATTATAATATTTTCAACATGCATTCTTATAGTCAAACATAATAAAATTTTAAAATGTAGCTTCACTTAGTCATTTTTCTTCAGAATGTTTCAAATCTTGCAGAAATTTACTTTGTACATTTATTTTATTTTATTTTGAAAATTACCTTTTCAAAGTAGGAAGGACCCAGTGGAATGATCCAGTTTGACATGGTTGTATCCATCACTGATTTCTCAAATGATCAATCAAAATCAAGAATCACCGATGGGCTCATTAGGATCATTTGACCCTCAATTGGTCTGACACGGTATTATGCCTAAGCTGTTTTGCTGGTCTGTAAACTGGTTTTAAAGGGGTTTGGTGCACTATTCACGCTGGAAGTCCAGCAAACCATAGCTTTTTCCGAAAACACATAGCCTAATAGTATTTCTCAATGAACTCACCCGTGCGTATTTTGAGGAATACGGGTCCTCAAAGAGCGCCCACGTCTTCTTCTGCCATCTGCTCCAGCGCCCGGACCTGTTATCGGGCGAGTCGCCTTGCGCCAGTCTCCGGGTCATCTCAACACCCTCATCCCCCTCGGCCGCCTCAGCAACCCCCTCAGGCTCCGGGTCTTCATGCCCGAGATCCAGAGCAACCCCGGCGAAGCTGTCCAAAGCCTCCTCCGCCTCTCGATGCTGCCGGTAGGTCATCCAGCAACACGGTTCCACGTCTGTCTCGTCGATCCCCCAAAACGCCAGCTCCTCCTCATACAAAGGTCCACACACGTCCGCCGGGCAATGCAGCTTGCCCGTGCGATAATAGTTAAGGATGTGGGCGAAAACGCCGGGGTGACGGTCGAAGAAAAACTCCCCGATGTTCGCATCATAATCGAAGTTATTAGGCGCGTCGGGCTCCGCCAGCCAGGAGAGTCGAGTGCCGGGCAGGGTGCGCAGGGTGCTGCGGTAGGTCTGGTGCTTGATTCCTCCGACGTTGATCACGATGCGATCCTTGTCGTCCCCTTGGCCCATCGCGTACCTCTCTAGTCATATCTCCAAACCGTGGACCGTCATCATACCGCTGGAACCCATGTTCAGAAATTCAAATGTGTTTACGATCGTGCCAGGTGCGCCTCAAAGTGTCCATGCCAACAATAGAATTCCAAAACCCTTGAATGACTTCTAAGATGCGAACGCGTTTTCCCTCCAATACCCCAATATCCCGACCCCCCGGCTCGAGTTTGAGGGCGTCAGGAAGGTTTTTTTATGGTGTCACTGGGCGCAAGGTGGTGCTGAACGGACAGCGCCAGTCATCCGTCGAGCCTTCATAACTCCAGCGTCCCTATTGTGTTACAGCTTCCCCTAGGGAAAAAAAACCGCGCTACACATCCGTTTTCTTTGAGAACGCACAGACGAACCAGCAGCAGATCTTGCCTTCAGCAATTCCAGTAGCCTTTAAAAAGGTATGCACAATCGATGGTGCTTTGAATAGTCCGAAGTCCCATTGAAGCGGATCACTTGTGATGACGGTCTGAAGAACCAGGCGTCGCAGCAACAAGGGAGGGTCTTTCATTCACAGGAGCAGAGCTCAATCTAAAATGTGTTTCCACGCGAACAAAAACGCAACATGTTCTCGGGGTGGAAGACGCACTGTATGGAAAGCCGTTTTAAAGTGTAGTTCTTAGAATGAACTACAGTCTATTATGTTGCTATAGCGCTTAATGTACTGAATACATCACTATGCAATGCATTCTTTGTCCTTGGAAAAATGAACATCTTATATGCAACAACTATTCAAGCGACTGTAATTTACAAGTTAACCTGGTTACTAGTTAGCCTAGTTAACCTGTTGAGCGGTACGGTCCCACATATGGGATTTTTATTTCCGTGCCCCTGGGAGTACGGTCCCACATATGGGCTATTGTGAGTTTCTTTCTCACAATTCTGACTTTTTTCTTGCAATTCTGAGAAAAAAAAGAATTGTGAGATATAAACTCACAATTGCATGAAAAAAGTATGAATTGTGAGATATAGACTCGCAAATGTGCAAAAAAAAAAAGTCTGAACTGTGAAATATTAACTCACACTTCAGAGAAAAAAGTCAGAAATAAGGAAGTTTATTTCATCACAGAATAAAAAAAATTAAAAAGTAATTGCACAATTTATCTTGTTTTATTTTTATATGTATATTTTTTCTTGCAATTGTGAGCTTATATTCTGAGAAAAAAAGTCAGAATTATTCCGTGTCAGAAACAAAAAACTGAATTGTAATATGTAAAGTGAGAATTCAGGGGGGGGAAAAACTCTGAATTCTGAAAAAAAATAAACTTATTTTTTATTCTATGGCAGAAATAAGCTTCCATAAATAGTGACTAAAATGTGATACAAACATAGTAACTAATAAAATAGAAAACCTTCCAGTAGTTAAGAAGGTGTAGCTGTGTCTGTGTAACAGACACTGTTTAGTTTAAAGGAATAAATGTTAAAGGGGTCATATGATGCTGCGAAAAAGAACATTATTTTGTGTATTTGGTGTAATGAAATGAAATAAAGTAAAAAAAAAAAAACACATTATTTTCCACATACTGTACATTATTGTTTCTCCTCTATGCCCCGCCTTTTTGAAACGCTTCGATTTTTACAAAACTCATCGGTCTGAAAAAGCGAGGTGTGCTCTGATTGGCCAGGTATGCAAATCTTCCCACATAGTGTGGTAGATATGTTGGGGGCGTGTTAGAACGAGCCGTTTTAGGTAGGTGTGGCTGACTCTTAACTTTTATAAAGAATATCTCTTGGGATTTGAGACTTTAGTCTTTGCAACTTTACAGATCTTCTTTATGCACCAGGAGCTTGTAACACTCCAAAGAGAAAGGAAAAATTGAAATCGCATCATATGACCCCTTTAAAACAGCTTGTCATGCACACTGCGTCCTATTTGTATGAGCAGCAGGTAACCTTGTGTTTATGCTGGAGCTCAGCTTGTGAACTGCTCCGGGTCCATTTTTAAAGGACAATGTGGTGATGAGGAGGAGGTGCACGACTAAAATCAGAGCACATTTGCCTGGGAGGCGTGTATGACCGTGTACACGTGGAGGCTGGACTAGGGAGGAGGTGATTTGTTGCATTTTGGGGACATTTGTGTGCTGCCTCCCAACCGCAGACCTATGAAAGGGAAATAATACATGCATATGAAATATCAGAGAAGTCTCACAATCTCACTGTGCCTTATGGGTAGCTCAGAATTCATAAATTAATGAGAAAAGCTTTTATTTTTACATTAGAGAAGCTTTAAGCTGTTTGAGGACCAGATACACCAGCCCATTGCAATTGTAGACATTTCATTAAAATTGATTTTAGATTTTGATACAGATCTAAATTGACTAATATAAAAGTGCCTTCGGTTTAGATATAAAGGTCATTATTTAATTTTTTTTCTGTAGGCTACTTGTAATGCCATTTCTGAGCAGTCAGAGCCTGCAATGCTTATGTCTGCCTATAGGTGGAAGCAAAGTGTTTGTAATATTATTGAAACACCAAATATAAATTATTATTTGAACAATAAATACATAGATACATAAAAAATTAAAATTAAAAAAAAGAACAAGATCACTTTTATTTAATAATGATCCTGGCCCAGTTTTACATTCCAAAGAAGACTGTGTCTGTTTAGAAAATTGTAAAAATAAATAAATACATAAAAATAAGAAAGCAAATAAATTTTTACATGTAATTTCAACATTTCAACACGTACCTCTTCTTAATAAAATTCTCATTGTGTACACTGTCCTTTTAATAGTCACTTTCAGCCTCCAAAAAAAAAAAAACTACATTAAGTTTTACAAATATTAAACTTTCTTTCTCTGGTGAACAAATGTGTATATTATATTTATTATAATATTTAAATTCTATTATAGTTACTAAAAAAACTAATGTGCATTATTGGTATTAAAAATAAGACAAAACCTAGATAATGTAATTTTTATTTATTCAATTATTATGTTTATATATGTACATATTTGTGTATGTGTGTGTTTTAATTATTATTAATAATAATAATTTATTGTATGTGTTAGGGTGGGAAGATTTTATACTCTGTATTGTTCCACTGGATTCTATAACACAGTTTGCTTATAAATAAATGAATGAATGAATGAATAATAAAAGAAATAAAAGAACACCCATCCCAATGTGTAATTGCTAATGCAAAATTACTAATGCCGTTTTAATTATTACTTACTGTATGTAATTGTTTTTCTTTTTCTCTCTTTATTGTCTTTTTTAACCTTTAAATTGTTAATGCACCCAGGAGATTACAGACATTGTACAGAAAGGACAGTGAGTGAGTGGCCTATTTGACGAGAATATTGAAAAGGGGGCATCCATCCGTAATAACTTGTCAGGTGACTTGGTAAAAAAGGTCAACTCAACATCTTATCCAAAAGTAACATGGCACCATGCTGTGACCAGTCTGCTGACCTTGAGGTGAACGTTTCTGGGAGATACAAACTGCAAACTTGAAAATGAAAACAATAATTGGAAGATAAACACAAAATATTATTTGTATTTAATGTGTTAAAAATAGCAATAAATGCATTTTGCTGAGATGTTCCCGCTATTTTGGTTAATCAGTATTTGTAACAAATCCTCCATGCTACTGTAAATTCTGGTATAAATGTCATAATACACAGTTTCGCAATAGGCACTCTTTCACCTATTGCAACGTTTTTATATATCTGGTTGTGCAGTTGTCCTTAAGTAAGCCAGTATCACCAATAAACAAACTGTCTTTGTCATAAGCATCCTCAACTTCTTAGAAACACCTCTCAGTTCACAAAAATATTTGTCTGGAAGTTTGCTAAATACTACACATATTCTAAGTAGGCGTAAACCAGTTGACCTATCCAAACCCTCTTACAAACCAAAGCCTCAATTCCAACCAATAGGCGATGAGCAAATCATCACCTCCCACCTGCCACTGTGCATTAGTGATGCTCAGTGCGACTGATTGTCTCGAATCGGTTCTTTTGAACAGTTCATTTCAAACAACCGGTTCAAAAGATCGATTCATCTATTCTTTTCCCTATGTCATCACATGGTTCCAAACAAGACGACGCGACATATGTTCTATGTGCGCCTATATCACAGTTTATTGCGTTTTTATATATAAAATTGCATCAGTAAGGGTGTTTATTGTATTTTAAAGTGTCCATTATTTACATCATAAAACACAGTTATTTAAAACCTAAATAGTATGTGCTACATTATTAGCTACACGGTTTTCGGATTAAGGAGTTGGTGAGTTCATTGAAAGTCTACAGATGTTTCGCGGTTTAACCAGTCAGTGAGTTCATTTACATGGATAGCAGTAAGATACTGTGTAGCCTAATAACAATCAAAAACCAGCTTATTCTAACAACAAATCAACGCGTTTATGTGATATTTGAAGTCATAAGTGTTTTAAGTTAACAGACATGCGCACATTACAAATGCCGCAAGAATGCTGTCAAGTTGCTTGCATGAAAAGTGAAATCAGTGTACAAAAATATAGACCTGCTGATTGGATTTTGCATTAACAGTGACCTTTAACCGATAAAATAACAATTTACATTCAGACTTTTTGTGTTATGAAACATAATTACAGTTCAAATGTCAATGTAAACGCTCTGGGTTAGTTGTTGATTCGGATTCTGTCCGTTTCGTGAACGAGTCGTTCATTCAGACTGATTCATTGAAAAGATTCGACTCACAAGAGTGATTTATTCACGGACACCGCTATCGTTTGTTATGGCTGCGCGCTAGAATGCGTGGCTCATAGGGAAACTTTCTATCGTGTTTTATCGGAGTCTATTTTATTTATTTCCGCCATGTCAGCGGGCATTATGCTTATTAACCTACATCGACTTTTGCACCGTTCCTTCGGTGCCAGACGGCCGTTTTTAGCGAGATTATACCACACTCAGCGAGGAGTCTATGGTTTCAGACCGAGGGAGATTCCGGAGAAAGATGCTGGGCTTCCGCAGATCTCCGCGCTTAACCAAGGTTGATAACTTAACAGTAACCTGCTTCTAATATTGTCTGTGTTATTATAATGTTCATGCTTTAGAGACCCATAACGGTAACGTCTTACTTCTTAACGATGCATTCTTAAACCTGCAAAAACATTAGAGTTGCAAAGCAAAACCTGCAATGCTGTAACATTTGGAGTGTGGTAATGTATTACAAGCCGCATTCTCTGGCTGTCTGATGTAAACAGATCACGGGCTGGAGAGACTGGTGGAGGCCTATCGAGCACATGGACACAAAGTAGCTCAAATTAACCCCTTACTCCCCCAAACTCCTGTGCTGGACAGTGTCCCGGAGATCGGCCTGTTGAATGGAGCCGTTCATGGAGTCCTCAACACCGCTAGTGAGTTTCTGCTTGTTTCCTGGTAACTTACATAATTTTGAAGTTGGTCATAAAATACCTCTTACGTATTACTAAACGTATGTTCCGTGTTCAAAGGCGGTTAAAGTCTGGGAACGGAATATGGGAGTATGTATTTAGTAGAAAATTTAAGACTTAGGCTATATTTCGTGATGTCGATTAGCACAAGAAATAATTTCCACATGTTCAGTTTTGTGCAGAAATGGGTTTACAGTAATGGCATTAACTTGAGTAAGGAAAGGAAATTAGTTAAGGGGAAAGGTATTAGGGTTTAAATGCATAAATGTGCACTCTTGTATTTATTAACGCACTTATTGTTTTATAATAACGTTATTATTTTTTATTATGCTATTATTATTTTTTATCTATTTTATTCATATAATTTTATTATTTTTTAGTTATTTTTATCAATATTTTTTTAAACCTAATTGTTTATGTATTTATGTATTTATTTATTTTAGTGCTGTCAAACGATTAATCGCATCCAAAATAAATAAACAACTTTTATTTTGGATGGGATTAATTGCGATTAATCGTTTGACAGCACTAATTTATTTATTTAAGATGAAAAATGTGATTGCAATTTAAAATGCTATTTTTCCCCTCCAAGTTTGCTGTGATAATTTAGAGGGCTGGACTATTTGACCCCAAATGTAGTGATTATATATTAATATGACAGAAGAAGAAGAACTTCTGTTATTATTATTAATTATTTATTTTTATTATTATGTTAGCTTGTAATGTTAAAAGTCTATAACATAATTTATTAAATATGTATGGCTTTTTTATGTGTGGTTGTGGCTATACTTTAGAAAAATTGTGCTGGGCAACGATTAAATTTCTTTTTAATCGCGATTAATCGCATGATTTTCTGCGATTAATCACATTGTAATGCACAAAATTCAATAATGAATTCAAAAGTAGTGTATTGTGCACTTTTTTCATTTAAAAGTACTGCTATATGAACAAAAGTGCAATAACATTTGGTTTGCAAACACTTTAAACAAATGAGGTGCTTTTTTTACAGCAGTATTCCTTTTATATAGTAGCAGTTAAAATATTTCTTGTAAATCTCAAATTAAAAAATGTAATCAACTTAAATATAAAACCAAAGCTATTTGCCACTGCCAGGGCATTAACGTTTTTATAGAAAATATTTTATAGCTTGTTACAGAAAAACAAGTTATGCTCAGAGTAGGGATATGCAGGTATCAAATTTTCATGTTGCGATTAATTGCTAATGCTTTTATCACGGTATGCGGTATTATCACGATATTGAAATTTAGTTTTAAAAAGTGCTGTCATAATACAGTATAACAGGTTTAATAGCATTTTTCTTACAACAAAAATAACTGAACATTTAAATGCAATAAAGCAGCGCAACAGAGTGCGGCGCGGGACAACACTGGATGGGCGAGTTTGGGTGCGGGCGGGTAGAGATTTGTGTGTGCGGGATGTGGGAGAATAAGGGTGTACTCACACTAGGCATTTTGAACCGTGCCCGAGCGCGTTTGACCCCCAAAGCCCGGTTTGTTTGACTAGTGTGAGCGCTCCGTGCCGCGCTCGGGCGCGGTTCGTTTAGCCGGCCCTGGCTCGGCTGGAAGAGGTGGGGAC